TCCATCGTATTCCTGCCTTCTCGCTCAACAGTCACAATCAGTTGTATAATCTAGTCCACCACAATCAAGAATATCATCGGTGATAACAGGCAGACAGCCTTGATTCACTCGTGTCTTCAAATGCTATCTACCCCACCTTGGAATCATGTTGATTATATCTTTATACTGACAGAGCCTTTCTCCCATATTATAAATACACGACTGCACAGTGGAGAAATGAAGTCGTTGAAAAGAAATATTTCTTCGTTAAACAAAAATTGTGTTTGTTTTTTATCCTATAAAGTGCATAACAGGAATTATTTTCTATCAACTAATTAGCAGTATGGTCTACCAGGATTGAAAATCATTTTGATGTATATCCGAATTTTGTAATTTTATTAAATTAAGTATAAAACTAAGTGGAACATACTTGAATAGGAGACTTCAGTGCCAGGGAAGATTGTACTTGAATTATTACAGCAGTAGCCAAGCACCAAATATGTTTATATCTTCGAGTATAACTTCGAATTCTAATTTTAAACTATGAGGAGACTGTGAGCACTTTTCAAACATTTTAACTGTTACAATTTAAGGAAAATAAACAGAAATCAGAATGGTGAAATGACCTTGTAGAGTTTTAAATAATTAACTCTTCATTACTGACACCTTCCTGATTTTCACCATTCACATTAACATTCAGTAAACCATGTTACCTAATTCTATTGATTATCAATAGAACATGGTCTTCATTCTATGTTATTATTAATTATCCCAGCATTGGAGCTGCGAAGATAAAATCGTGCATTGAAAACCTTTTTTATTTACTTACGGTCCGTTGATTGTCAAACAGCTGTAAAAATGCAAGATGAACTCCCAAAGTTTCTATGAAAAGTCATCAGTCATAATTCCAGTCAAATCAAGCGTGACAATGGTCACTCCGCGGCGAGCAGGCCGTCGTGAGTCTTCACCTATTAATCATTTCCCCTCCGACAACAGAAGGTGACGATGAAGCTGCAGCTATGGGTCACTAGATTCAGACCTGAAAACTCAATGGTGGTGGTATACTTATCTAGAAATCACAAAGTCCTCAGAAATGTGCTTCAGAACTTCCAAAGAGTACTAAACCAAAACGCAACAGAATCGTTCACAGTTATTTTAGACTGGAAGGCGTCCCTTCACCTCGTGTTAGTACTTGACGAAATATTTTTTGAAATCAACCCACCACACTGGCACAAGCCTAGTTGTATAAGATAAAATCAATTTTAAGAAGTGATGATAAGCAATATTTTACGCTATTATATTACTCACCATAATGGACATCGTGAAAAACGGAATATCGTGAAAAGATCAGCATTGCGAAGAGTTATTTCTAGGGGTGTGGTTGAAACGCCTACTTGTCACGTTCATTCATTACATTTTTGGTGGTAAACAGTATGTGTTACCGACTGCCGTAAAAGAAAAAACTTGTCACAATTGCAGCTGTACAGTGTAGGTGGGGGCAATTAGTAGTTAATGCATGCTAAATCCTGATTGATAAATAAGAAAATGGATATGCATCACTAATTAATCATGCTTGGCTACTACTTCTGTCGTCAGTTTCGCCGCGAAGTGAGACAGTAATCCACATTGGAATTATCGGGATGTGGCATCACATCTTCGAGGACGGTGGACGATGTGTGAAGATGAAGCGAACTATTTAGTGCTAGCGAAGAAGGGTGAAACGCGTTATGAGGGACGCCTCTCATCCTTCTTCGCTAGCACTAAATAGTTCGCTTCATCTTCACACATCGTCCACCGTCCTCGAAGATGTGATGCCACATCCCGATAATTCCAATGTGGATTACTGTCTCACTTCGCGGCGAAACTGATGATAGAAATAGTAGAAGGCACGTCATAGTTTACCAGGAGGTAGCGGAGGATCTACACAACGCCTTTCATTAATCCTCCTCTGTTCCACACGACGTCCATGTGCATATCCCTTATCGATTGACCAACGTTGTGCGCACCCCTTTGTAAAGTCATACTTTACGAATGCCTCATCTGGATACCTCCGCTTGTATTCACCTATCGCAATCTTCATGAAGTAGGTAGGATTTGATGATGGAGGCACTCACGACGAAACACAAGAAGAGGTACGCCAAACAATCGTACCCATGGTCAAACAGAAGAAATAACTCAACGCTCAAGAACTAAAGGCCCTCAAAAAGCTGAAAAATAGCAAGGACATCGCGATTCCACCAGATGACAAAGGAAGAACCACCGTAGTCATGGACAAATACGAATACACCAAGAAAGCTGAAGAATTATTCAAAGATGAGGATGTATGTCGACAACTCACAACAAACCGAATGCAAACATTAGACAACCGCATCCAAAGAACCTTAAACAAGCTCACCAAACACGGGTCAGATCACAAAGCAAAACCAATGGCGAATGAAATCCAATCGACCAGTTCTACCCTGATCCTACGACAGGCCCAAAATACACAAACCGAACATCTCGTTACGGCCAGTTGTATCACTCCCAGGAACCCCAACATACAATTTATCCAAAGAACTATAGAGAAAATTGAAACACCCAACAAATTCCTGCGACTACTCCATCAATTCTACTATCCAATTTCTAGAGAAAATCAGAAGCATTCAAATAGATGACCAAGAAATAATGGTTTCCTTCGACGTCACAGCATCCTACACCTCAATTGGACAGAAGCTAGCAAAAGAAACCATGGAGGAATTACTCAACAACGGCGAACACCTCCCACAACAATCAAAAATGCGACACACAAGTTGGATGGAATGCATACACCTATGCCTAACAACGTACTTCTAATTCAACGGCCAAATATGTGAATAAGTTAAAAGAATCACCCAATATAAGGTTTGGTTGTAGAAGCAGTGAAAGCATAACCCTACCAAAGATCAAACTGAAAATTTGGATACGTTACGTAGATGACACATTCGTAATAATCAAAAGAAACGAGTTGAATAAAACTCACAAATTAATAAACAGTACTTTCAACGACATCAAATTCACAAGAGAATAGAAATGCGAGAGCGAAATCCCATTTTTGGACGTCTTAGTCGAGCGGACAACCACAGGAGAATTGAAAACTCAAGTCTATAGAAAATCAACCCACATAGATCAAATACTCAATTACAACAGCAACAATCCAATAACACACAAAAGGAGTCGTGTACAAGCACTATTCAACAGAAGATGAAAGCATTGCAGCACTCTTACCCACTCTAAGGATGATATCTCATGGACGTCTTCCAAAAGAATTGATATCCACGGAATTTCAACAAAAGACATCTACCCCCAAGCCAACCAACCGAATCAAAGCCCCCCCCCCAAGGAAAGCACAAAGGAAATCGTTCTACTACATATAGAGCACACCTCAGAAACTACTGCAAGACTCTTTAAACCTTTGGGATTGACGTCGCACACAAACCAATAAAATCACTTCCCCACTCAGCTGGCTGGCTAGCTCTATGTCAACCAAAAGACACAGCAACGAAAGAATAGGATATCAACATCATCTACAGAATAAACTGTAAAAACTGCGAAAAACACAACACTGGCCTAAGTGGATATCCGCTTCGTCTTCGTATCCATGAACATAAACTAGTCTTCAAAAGACATGACATCCAGCCCCTCGCTCATATCACTGCATACAGACAACCACGGACATCAATTCCACTGGGACAACCAGAGTTCAAATATTAGACAAAGGAAACACCAAAAATGCTAGAGAATCTTTAAAAGACGGCCTCGTACTCCAGTGAATCGTCAATCAATAGACACAACGACATAGACAAAATCTACCAATCGATGAGAAGGAAACCTGACTCACACAGCGTCAAACTTCAGGTCAAGGAAACAATCAGTACCAATACGAGTAGCCTAGAGGGTATGAAAACACACAAAAACAATCAATCACGTTCAAGGTGACCCACCAGGAGAGATGACTGATAAACTCGTGGAGAAATCCAGAAGCTCACTTCAATTCAAATTGAAGTATCCGCTGTTGATTTTTCCTGGTCGGACTATGCAAGCTTTGTAGGGACACTTCTCCTGTTTTCGGGATGAGGGGTACATCAGTGTACTTACTTGTGGAAGGAAACTCTCCTATCAGATTTGCTTCCCTTATAATACCACCTTCTTCGGAGTCAGTGGAAATACGCGTGTGGTGTTCTGGCATGATCTACGGAGTTTTTTTGTTAGAATCAGGAACCTCCACCTTGCAGTGAAGTAGCGAGGTCAAAGAAATCAAAATGGGTTAACTCCAGCTCGCGAATAATGAATTTGAACATTCAATATTGGTTTCTTATCATCGCTGTAATTTGTGTTAGGCGTGGTAAGTTCGGCGGTTTTTCCAATATTTAAACTATTGTCTCTAATCTGATAAACTGTGATGAAGATTTTGACGGAATAGTTTTGAAATAATCGGGCGCCGTATGAGAGTTAGACCTTTTTAAAATCTGAGCGAAACTGATATGTATCATTCCAACGTTACGCTCATCATGTCAACGAACCGGTGGTTTCTTGTTTTTTTCTGTAATTTAGGTTATCCGTGCGGTATTTTCTTGATGGTTATCGATCATCCCTTTATTTCAATGTTGTTTTTTTACGATTTATCTTGGAATAGTTGTGACATAAATGGATCCTGATTGATAATTTTATATTAGTCCGTTGCAGTTAGTCAATTCGAGTGACAGGTGCACAGATTTAAGTGGAATTTTTGCTGAATACATACTTGGAAGGCGTTTCTTGAGCTGGGATGAATTTGAGAAGTCATTAGCAGAATTTCAAAAAGTGAGGAAGTCATTTAATGCTAACAGTGTAGTTATCCTACACTCACTATGTTCATAATTGCAGCAAAACGATACAGGATGCCAGGTTTAAGTACGCTTATGTTGGTTTTAAATGCACTTTTGGAGTGAATCGTACAAGACCTGGATTGAAATTGAAAAACAAGTCGTAAGAAGAAGTGTAATATGATTTCATGAATATTTCAGGTCTAAATGTTGCAATTGCTCGTCTTCATTTCGCGTGGTTTTGCATTATAGTGAATACCTAATTGCTTCCCACAATATGGTGCATAACCATCCATGCAGCAGGGTGTACATGCAGAATGACCCATGGTATAGACGACTAACAGTTGAAGAGAAAGAAAATATTGAACCACTTCTTCAGCAATTCCACTCATCCGATGAAATAATAATGCATGTTAAGGAGAAGTACCACAAGGATATAACTCGCATTGACGTTAAAAATATGAAAGCCGCAGTGAATAAAGGTAACGTTGACGTACTTGTTACATACTTAAGGTATTTCGAGTCGTCGTGACATTTTTGAATTCCTAAAATCCCGTGGGAAGTTAATGGAGTATTATTCCGATGAACCGATCAGGAATTCACTAACAAGAATTTGTTTTGCAACTTATGAGCAAATGGAATTGTATAAACAGTTCCCTGAAGTTGTTGGTATCGACTCGACGTATAATACAAATAAGGGGAAGTAAGTTTACCAATTCATTAACCAACGTGCAGGTATTCTTTGTTCCAATTACTTGTGACGGATAATTTTGGTCGTGGACGACCAGTTTTATTTGCGTGGACTAGAAAAGAATTCAAACGAGATGTAGTTTGGATATTAGACTGTTTCCGGCAAATAATGGAAGACACCTCCAAAACAGAATCCTTCATTATGGATTGTGCGCAAGCTGAAATAGCAGCCGTCAAGTTAACGCACAGACAAGCGCACATTGTTTTGTGTTCTTTCCATGTTTGCCGAGCTTTCTGTCGGAAAGTAAGTTTTTCGAAGCATACTTTACATTTTATTCGTAGACAAGAAATCCCATTGTGAAGAATTATTTATGCCGTCTAGTGCAGTGTAAAAGGAGATCAGAGTAATGCCTCTATTGTTCTCATTTTGCAGATTTAATTTCTACTTCAGAGTTATTAGCAGATTGGATGCTAATGTCAGTCAATATCTACAACGTCGTTGGATGCATCGACGAGAATTGTGGGCAGCATGTTTCAGAGACAACGTGCTGACTTTTGGGAATGATACAAATAATCGCGTCGAGAGTTCCCACAAGGAAATGAAACGGTGCTTGCAAAGATCTGATAGTCTGCATAAAAGTATGCTAAAGGTGTATAAATGGTATAAACGAAGTTTTTCAAGAATACAGCAGGAGGCGAATATTGCTCAGTCACGATGCTTCACGTATCCCTGTTCACAACGTCTAATCCCAATTATACGATTGCTGACGCCATACGCCGCGAGGAAGGTAATACGTGAATACCAATGGCGACGATGGGCTATTGTTGAGTTTGAATCCTTTGATTATGTATTCTTCAAAGAAAATGGGAATACAGTGGAGGTTGATCTGAGTGCTTGCACCTGCACGTGCTTTACATTTCAGACCTGTCGGTACCCCTGCCGACACTTGCTTTTGGTCCACTTCAGAAAGCCGTATTTCACAGGTATATTTGCGTTTTTATGACTCCGTTTTTAATTTATGTCGACCGAAATTTAATTAATTAATGTTCTTGTATACGGAAAGTTGTACTTTTTATTAACCTATTCGTGTGTACATTGCCTTAATTGGAAACAAGACACAAGCACTACCATCATTGCACGTGTAATATTCAGTTCATAGTTATCTTTACGTTTTTTGTTTCACCTTTTGTAGTTAACCATGTGATGCAGAATTGCAAACAATGGGCATGGTCACGCAACTTGTTCGCATCTCAATGCACGTCAGCTGTTGTCCCTCGAAATCGAAGTGGCCCATTCGAAACCTATATAAGTATTGTGACTAAGGGCTTGAGGAAAATTAATGACAAATTTGGAGATGTGTTTGCCAGGAATTATGCTGTAGAAGTAATCGCAGGAATCAATCGTACTCTGAATATGTGAATAAACTGAATTTGTATCATAATTAAAATACAATTTTCATGTCAATCTTGTTGTCTTTCGATTCATGTGTTTCCTTATTGAGCACGGCATGCTAGACCGGTGCTCTCTAGGACTTTAACTATACGTAAGTGTAATTGCGTAGGAACGATGTCGGTCGTCATGCGTCATAGTCATATAGAAGTCTTTAGGGCCAAATGACAATAGTAGGCATAACTTAGGCACTGCATTCGAGTTCCAATTCTTATACGGTTACGTGTATTCTAAAGTATTGCATTACTAATGTTTTACTTAAAGCGTGATGTCATTCCATATGACTAAGGCTGTTAACATGTAGCGTAAATTAAAGTCTACACCAGACAAATTATTGAATTCGTTTAGCTTTAGCAATCGTATTTAGATTTAGCTTACACTAAAATATGCAACCAATTACTTCGTCAGTTCTTATTAATAAGTCATGTCTGTATCTAGTCAGCATGACAAATATATCTACACTCAGATACAATAAAAACGGTCTGGTAAGCAAGATATTAAATGTATTTAATGAAAAATAATAACAAGCAAATGTCTTTACGCAGTCGTTGGTCGTAATAATTTGTGCAATGTCGAATCTCTGTGACTGGGGTGACTGACGTTACCGGATATCTACAAATAAGTAAACAAAGTGTTTTTTAAATAGCTGAAGTAAGGAAGAAGTAATATTAAAGTTAAACGCTTTATATTTGCCTACCTTTGCTGAAAATGGTTCATTCTCCTTTCTCATTCTTTGGTAATGACATCATTCTTCTGGGGTTTTCACTGCCACACACATTATTCCTCTTCTAAAGGATAGCAGCAAGCATATAGTAATAATTTCATATTTCGTATAAACCAATGTTTACAAAGAATGCATGTCATTTCTACAGGCGCAATAAGTTATGTTATAAACTGCAATCGTGAAGTATCATAAATTATAAGAGTTAAATTGTAAACCCTTAACAATGAACACCGTACATTTGGCTAAGTGCTATGTCCTTGGAATGTGAGTATACATTTGCAATGTTTAATGCCAACCATATCGGTGTAAACATAGAAAATATGACGTTTTCCATGAAAATACAGCTTTGTTCAAGCACTGGTGTTGTTGTGTTTCTAATAAAAGCAAATAGACTGTAAGCAAGCAACTAATAGGCACAAAGAGTAAGTCTCAGCTTTAATAAAGGCATATCCAGTTAAGATAAAATGAAGTGTAATAGTGCACAAATGAAAAGACCATAGTGAAGTAGATAAGTGATCTTTCAGTGAGAGGTAAATTGAAAGATCTGCAACCTTACAATTTGGAAGACAACCTGACATTTAAGATCTCTCACAAATTTCTGTAGGGCCTGTGGGGTACCATGGATGGTTTGGCGTCAATCGCAGCTTTCGAAGGATGAGTTACAAATGCAAAAGGTAACAACCAACGAAACTGTAGTATTATTTTCTAGCTGTTCGGCATTTTTTCCTTTGATGCAGTTTCTTATCAACAGTTTGCAGTATTCAGAACATCACAAGTTGCTTACAGATAACTTGTTTAGTAATAACTGCTTGAAATATAAGGGCTATAAGTGCATCTTTCATAGCCACAATTAAGTCATTAAGGATCTCAGATTATCTTAGTGATGTGAAGCAAAATAATTTTTAAGATTGATATAACCTATGTAACAGGTGTAGTAGTTGTATGACACAGCCGCTAGCTACTAATCGACAGAAATCTGGTACTAATTTTAAGTACTCTAACATTTGAGAAGGACTATTTATACTATTCTTCCAGACACAATGAACACTGATGTCAATATACTCTGATGCCATTTCATGCACTGAGCAATTAAGGCCTTGTGAAATTCCATGTGCAAATGTCAATTAAACTATTATCACATCTTCGCCAAAGCACTTTCAACTAGGAACTTCATCAAAATAGATATAATCACCAGGAGATTCAGCAGCCTACCTCATTCATCGCATAATGTCGTCGATGTGTTATGCGTATTTCAGTCATCCTGGATGATAACAGAAAAGTTTAACATGTTCAAAGCACACATCTAACCTATGTCTGCATGCTATTTCTCTTTCATAGGCCAGATTCTCATAGATTCACTGGAATGACAACAGCCATTGCCTGCAGTATATTTACAACCTTAATTCTGGAACAGCTCACAAAAAAACCCTCAACGCACTATAATGCAAATAATAGTCTTTCTATGCGAACTCTCTTAAAAAGGATTACTTCTTCATTGATAATTCGTCCGAGCTATAATATACAATTTTACGCTCTACTAAGAACAAAATACAGCAAAATACTGCCATCCGGCTACAGAAGTCTAAAACTAGTCAAATATAATCTATTTCCAAAAAAATAGGTGATTATAACGTCTGTTGACGTGAGCGCGGTAACCGATGGCATTGCGCGATAACACCTGGTGTCGGCCTATATCCTCACTCTATCCTCACACGAGGAAAAATTCAAAGGTGACGCACTTCGGACACTGGGCAGTTTCCGTCGAATAATAGGAGATACTTCGCAAACGAAGACTTTCATCTTTGACTGTGCTCAGATAATACATGTAAATAAACTTGTTTGCGTGGCAGTAAAATAAAATTTTCTATCTAATATTATTGTGTTGTATTTGTTCTGCATGCGGTGGGAATACGGCATGGTAGACCGGTACTCCCTAGGATATGAACTCGTTACTGTATATAAGTGTAATTCTGTAGGAACACTATCGATCGATATAAGTAGTGAATTATAAGTACTTTACTCAAGCCCAAAAATCTGCCTAAAGTTACGCGATTACGTCTCCTAGTCATAGGGCAGTCTGTAGGGACCAAGTACACAAATACTTCAGTATTTGAAAAATAAGAAATGAACTCGGGCACTGCAATTGAGTCGATTTCTTAAAAGGTGAAGTGTATTCAAAAGTAGTTCATTACCAATATTTCACTTAAAGCGTTATGTCGATTTATATGATTATGGGCTTTAACTTACAGTGTAAGGTGAAGTGTACAAGAGACGAATAATTGAATAGGTTGAGCTGTAGCAATCGTAGTCACACTTACATTACACTAAAATATGCCACCAATTACTTCGTCAGGTCTCATTGATAAGTCATGCCTGCATCTAGTCATCATGACAAATATAGCTACACTCAGATAGAACAAGAAAGGTCTGGTAAGCATGATGTTAAATATATTTTAATGAAAAATAATAACAAGCAAATGTCTTTACGCAGTTGTTTGTCGTAATAATTGGGGCAATGTTGAATCGCTGTGACCGGGTTGACTGACCTTACCGGATATCTGCAAATAAGTGAACAAAGTGTTTTTTTAATTCGCTGAAGTAAGAAAGAAGTAATATTAACGTTAAACGCTTTATATTTGCCTACCTTTGCTGAAAATGGTTCATTCTCCTTTCTCATTCTTTGGTAATGACATCATTCTTCTGGGGTTTTCACTGCCACACATATTGTTCGTCTTCTAAAGGATAGCAGCAAGCAAATAATAATAATTAGAACAGGTTATGATAAGAGTTAAATTATAAACCCTTCACAATGAACACCGTACATTTGGCTAAGTGCTATGTCCTTGGAATGTGAGTATACATTTGCAATGTTTAATGCCAACCATATCGGTGTAAACATAGAAAATATGACGTTTTCCATGAAAATACAGCTTTGTTCAAGCACTGGTGTTGTTGTGTTTCTAATAAAAGCAACTAGACTGTAAGCAAGCAACTAATAGGCACAAAGAGTAAGTCTCAGCTTTAATAAAGGCATATCCAGTTAAGATAAAATGTAGTGTAATAGTGCACAAATGAAAAGACCATAGTGAAGTAGATAAGTGATCTTTCAGTGAGAGGTAAATTGAAAGATCTGCAACCTTACAATTTGGAAGACAACCTGACATTTAAGATCTCTCACAAATTTCTGTAGGGCCTGTGGGGTACCATGGATGGTTTGGCGTCAATCTGAGCTTTGGAAGGATGATTCACAAATGCAAAAGGTAATAATCATCGAAACTGCAGTATTATTTTCTAGCTGTT